ATAGCTTGCCAAGGCATGGCCATCTGGGGAGAAAGTATTCCGGCGGGTTATTTCGTCGGCGAAGTCAGTGATGAGCTCATGAAATTGGGTTTTCGAGAGAAGCATCAGCCTATTTTTACGATTGACTTTACTCCTTTGAGTTTCCCTCGCGATAAGAAATTCAGAGAGTATCGTGAAGCTCCTTGGTAGGCTGCCTCGAAGGTCAACGAATGAGTCGGGGGTAATGCCAAGATCTAGATCTATGGTTTTGAGATGAGATAGAGCTGAGAGATGATGAACATAGGTTGACTATGATACCGTCGTGAGTAAAATCTTTGTTCAGGAATAAAAGGCTGATCAAGTAATCTTACAAAAATCTGACTGGATGTCATAGTTCCATCGTATTTACCCACCAACGGACCACCGCCGAGTGCATCTTCAACAACGACATCTCCATCTGCAGCTTCTCCCATCCTCGTAGTCTCGCTCTTCGTTCTCAAGCGGCTGTATCGAATCATTTCAAGCTTTGGCAGACATTCAAGTACACAGCCCGCGCTGAATAGCTTTGGAAATTGAAGCTCAGCTGTTTCGCATCGTAATCCGATGTGTATACTTTGCAAATTTGGCATCATGACAGAGTACAACATTCGATAATAAGAATCCTGGTGACAGTTACGGTCCAGAGAAAATAAGGTCAAAGTCTTGAGGTTGGGGGATTCATGGATAGTAATGCTCCTTGGGGAAAGATAATGTGAAGAGGTATAAAATCTCAAATGCTGGACGAGCTTCAGTTTATACAGCCCCCTGGTTAGATATATCGGGTCAGTTATCGAAATCAATTATACTTGAGGGTCGATCTAATACTTACTCATTGCAGAATGTGACACTGTTGAAATTTCGAACAGCTGCCTCCGAGTCCGCCGCATTGGTACCGTAACAGCCGATGATGGCAGTTTTATATAATACCGGAATTGCATGAGCATTCCAGCAATGATTTACCCGGGTCATCGAATTTATGTCAGATATGCGCAACATTTCGAGTATCAGCAGCAATATTTCCGCTGGAAGCTTGTTTATTGGGATTGATTGTTTAATCGTGCACCGTGGGCCCTCGATTGTGTTGATGGTGTCGTGCCATTGTTGGGGCATCATTTGGGTAGACACTGGAGACCTTTGTCGGGGGAATTCCATCATGGTGTAGATTTGGGTAGAAAGCTAAAGGAGATCGAAAGACAGGTCTCTACAGATCTATATAGGAGAGATCCTAGGCTGGAAAGAGGTGTCTACCTCAGCAACCGCTGGGTAGGGCGGCCTCGCGGGTACTTGTCTCACCAATCCCAGAAACTGTCGCTGCAGAACAGCCGCACAACATTCGGGGGCTGTTGTACGTCAAAGCGTCCGTATTGCGAAACAATATGCACCGAGGACCGCGCCGAAACTGGTCACGACATCAAATATTAAGAAAACCTAACGACCCTTGGAGAATAACTTAAGCGAGCATACATCCATACTCCGTTCGGTTCTTCCATAGCTGCTGAAACCCAGGGTCTGACTTGTATGTAGCTTCTGCGCTTTCTCACAACCAAACGATGCAACGGGCCAAATGTGAGAATAGAAATCAGACTTACAGCTGCCTCGGGTGAATGACTTTTTTGAATTTCGATATCCCACCTCTGCATGATTGTAGATCAAGTCCTAGCCAATAAAAAGAGTTATGCATACATGTTACCAGGTTAAGTTGTAAGGGTTCAATTCAACTCAAAGATTGATGTGATGTCATGATCATACAATGGGTGCTGCTCTACACAAAGTCTCCGAGAGGATCAGATATCTATATGATTCAACATGGATAAACCAAGTGGCATTCTCAGTGCGCTTATGTGCGAGTGACTAGTGATGACCTCCGGGGGTGCATATATATCACGCATCCACCCAACCAAGGGTGTCAGGACAAAGCCTCACTCCAAATGGCTTCTATTTTGTTATGTACCTAGATCATGAGTTGCTAGAATCATATTAAGTACTAGACACTAGAAAGAGCAAATTGTTGATCATGATCACCCGCTTAATTACGTGGGAATTAGGATCCTCCATATCCCTGCCAGCTTCATGCAGACTACAGCACAAAACAGCGGCGTCGCTGCTGTTTAGACCAATAGATAGGAGTAAGAAATAATAAAAGCTGTGCCTCTCAACATCGCATCTGTTAGGAATATCTATAAGTACCTGTGCTCCTCGATGTGCTGAAGGTACTCTTCTATATCTGGCTTCTTACCCGAGGGCCGAGCCTCCTTGTAGGTATCATATATGCGTGCATGTACCCAACGGACTACCCCAGGCATCAATTTTAGAGGTTCCCGAGCCACTGGAGCCGGAATAGCGCCACCGTACCACAGATATACCCAAATATGGACATAGCGAAAATCGCGCGATGGTGAAAGTCCACCAAGCCTCAAAGGGAACAATGGAACCCGAATTTGTTCTTTTCTTAATGATAATCAAATCAACAGAATGAAAAGTATATCTCGACATCACATCACCTTGGAAAATAAACCCTCTTTACACCCCCCACGTAGCAATGAATCTAGGGGCTTCAATTGACTCATCCCGAAATCCAATTCCAAGTTAAGATAGCTTCCATCTTCCCTAGAAAAGGGAGTTTATTAAATCGGCATTGAACCGGTACATCAGCCTGCGAAGTCTTGATTCATAATGTTTATCGTTAGTATCGTTAACACATCGGTGGTCATATTGGTCGAACTGATTGACTCGCCTTTCCTTCTCTCCATGCGTCAACAGTGAAGACGATGTAAGCCCCAAGCGCGAGTATGAACAACGGCAAGACGATGCTGAGGAATATCCATGTCAGGACTGTGCCACACCATGCTTGCAATGACGGCACTATTGTCGAGTTCAAACTATGTACCACTGATCAGCAGCCGGCGTCTTGTGACGAAGTGTTATCAAAGCGCTTACTATTGAATGGTAGAAACCTCCACCTGCGATGCTGTTGATGCCATCGTTTCCTTTCTCTTTCTGCGTTAATGAGGCTGCTTGAGGGTTGATTAAAAGAGGGGTAGTCTGTTAGGTATAGTTAAGGTGCAGTAGAAGGCTGTGCATGTTGCACGTTGATTAAGGCCTCCCGTCGATTTTGAAATACGCAATTGGATGCGGGTGTTGCCATGCGGAACGGGTTTAAGAGGTTGTGCCATTAGAGCCTCATAGTATATAGATACATGTACTAATACTTTTAAATCTCAGATGGAAGTCATACATATACGTACCTTGCAATTAGTGAGCTTCCACAGGTCATGTATACTACTATAAGTGATCATGATATGAAATTTAAAGATAAACCCGATAATCTCTTTGCTCGGGAGATATGCAATTACTATTAACTCCGTGTATGTCACTGTAGATCTAGAAGAGATCATAAAGGTGTGCTTAGAAGAGTATGTACTGTCGGTGCCAGTGAAAGAGGTTTGCCACGATGGGAGATAGTATTGCCAGGTGACAAAAATAACTACGCACCCAAATCTGTATGGGAAAAGAGCCTTTTCCGGACCACAAACTTGATAACATACACAAAAGGTCTTTGGAACCCTAGAAACTCACATATACGCTTATCTCTCTCACAGCCTATATACTTATGCAATAGTTAGTTAGTCTTCGAAGTTTGTCCTTTTTGTTAGTAACCCACATGGCAACCATACAAAAATTGGCAACCTCGAGTCTTTGTAACTTCCTGAGGATGTAAGATAACAAAGCGATAACTATATCTCTAAAATCCTGGAGCTTGGGAGATTTGGCCTTTCTGTTACGGGGTCTGTGGTGGTATGTCTGGAGTAGCTAGGTCTAAAAAACGTTATTTTCCCATACAAATTTGGGTGTGTAGTTATTTCTGTCACCCGACAATAGTATGGTGTCGATCGTGGAGTAGTTGAGGGGAAATGTATTAAATTGTATGGGAGATCTATTATTGAATATGAAAAATAAGATCTGTTAGTAAAGCCACACCTAAATATAATGGTTTTTTTCTTTCCTGGGGTCAGCGCTTTTCTTCTGACGGTTAACGAGATTCCGAGTGATAGTATATGCGAATCAAGTACACCACTGGGGCGAATAACATGTATTTAGCCGCCAACACTGCAGAACAAGTTTCCGGTTGTTGGTGACTCTTTTCTTTGATGGCATAGAAGTGCTTCCTAGGGAATACCGTACGGCTTCAGGGGTATAGCTACGTGGCCACTCAGGTGTTATGAAAATAAACACTTTTGGTCCCTCGGCCTACGGCGTGCGCGCTGTTATAACTGGAATATTAGTATGTCCTTGTAAGTATGTAAATTAATATTTTAAGTAGAGATACGCCGAATAGTTGGTCGGTTGTGCTAAGGTTTGAAGGATTCTTGCATTGGCCACGCTGATCATGATATCGAGTACAGGATGTATATTATATTGCTTATAGTCTTGGAATATCGATGGCGACTTTGTAGCACACTAGCCTCATTATATATATAGTAGACCTTCCAGCGCCGGTATTCGATCGTGAAACACTATCCCTTGGACGAACGAGACATTGGAGAATCTCTCTCATGCATTAGCGTGTTCCATAAAAGAAGTGATCGACTGAACCTAAGGCAGCATGCTACGAAATATATGGCCATACCAGCGTGATATAAAGACTGGCAAATGCAGCAAGCTGTTTACCCGGACGTTTTATCACCAAAAAATAGAGATCACATGATATATATATATGCATGAGAGAGATTTTCCAATGTCTCATTCGTCCAAGGGACCAGCACAGGCATGTAGGACTAGAGACACCTAAATATCTTTCTAAAGTACATGTATGTACTTGCTACGTGACCATAAGTACATTATAGTACGTAGTACGTAAGTTAGAATTTACTAAGTACACGTAGTACGACGTTTGTCTACATTAGTACTAGAAGACATGCGGCGTAGTAAATGGAATAGCCCTAGTGGCAAGTCAAATGCCATTTTCTTGTCAGTAGTGGCATGGGTGGATAGCTCAATGGTAGAGCGCTACACTTCGTTGATTAGTTCGCGGGTTCGATTCCCCCCCCTCAAGTGCCGTAAGAATCGTGCTGGGCGGGGACGAAGTAGATTTGGTTGCGTGAATGTGTAAGCGATAGCGAGTGGAAGTCAGAGATATGGAGAGATCTGGGTTCGAGTCCCAGTCCACCTAAAGACTTTTGCTCGTGTATTACATTACTATGTCGTAATCTAGCTCCCCGATCTGAATTGGTGAGAGCGGAGCTATAGCTAAGTATGCAAGCCTGAACTCAGTATGATAGAGTACAAGTGAGGAAGTATGCAGAAAGCGGGTGTAAAATGCTCTCTGTGTGGTAATACTTAATGTAGTTATATAATTATAAGTGTGTACGTATGAGTACACTCAGACAAAGCTTCTGATATCTTTCCTCGACTCGAGTTTGCTACGTGCAATGTATGTATATGTATACGTAACTATAAGACTAAAAAGCAACGTGAATGAATTGACTGTCCTAACACCCCTAACTGCATATCATGCTACCCTTTCGCCACCAGGGAAGAGGGAGGGGTTCCCGGCTGATCTCCTGCACCGACAAATTAAAACTATAAATGTGTACAGTAGCAAAAAGGGGTAGGACCCATGCTGCAAAGAAATAATTCTGCGGTATTTTAGATAATGTGGTCTAGAAGGAAATCAAGTATTTTGCTATCTATAATGTACTGTCTCTATTTTTTCTATCTATAATGTACTGTCTCTATTTTTTCTATTATTGGAACGGTCTGATTGGCTGCTGGGTGCAGGGGTGGGATTAGTCAGCGCGACACATCAAATTTGGTCGAAACCCTAGCCCAGACTGACTCCTTCATGGAAACCAGCCCACCCAACGGAACTCTTTATATATATAATTAATACGTGTAGTCAACTATGAGTAGTGGGAGGTGAAGAAGGGTGGCGGGGGAGGGGGAGGGAAGGTGGGGGAGGGAAGGTATCAGTGGAGGGAGGGACGAGGGGGGGGGAGGGACGAGGGGGGGAGGGGGGGAGGGGAGAATCGGATGGGGGGGGGGGGGGGTGGAGGAGCGGTGGAGGTGGAGGAGCGGTAGAGGGGGGGTGGAGGCCAGTGGATGGACACAGTACCGTGACTGGAGTGGCATTAATTGGGCTGGCAGTAATTAGAGCCGGCACTGGAGCTGGCACTAGAGATTGGAGTCCGCATTAGAGCTGGCACTGGACCTGGCATTGGAGCTGGCAGTTGAAATATCTGATAATTAACGGAAAGATTTACATTGCTATAGCAGCATTTGGGCATCGCCGTGGGAACTGGACATGCATGAGAGGGCTAAGGCAAACTAACTAATTACTGGAGGCGCATGGATACTACACGGAGGTGGGAGAGAGGAATACCTCGCGGTCGCGAGGTGGTATACTGCTAGTAATACAGTATCTTTGCTGAATGCCCTATATGACTTATGCAGTGTTTCTAGAAATGTTACGGTTTCTAGGCATTCTCCGGGTTCTTTCTTGCCGAAAAGGGTACATGTATTATTTTGTACGAAGATTACATCCAATATTTTGATCTCGTGAGGCCTTACAATTAATTGTCAAATTTAACTACCGATTAATTTATCAATATCTTCGTAATCTTTGATCACTCATCATAGGGCTAAAGGGAGTTGGGAAATACTTTTAAAAAGAATTTTATCCATTCAATATTCGCTGAATGATGAAACAGTCTTGCTACTATCTCCGCAGGGTGGTGCCGATAATCTCGATGAGTTGATTGTGATGGTCACGAGAATGAGTTGGTGCTGATCACCGAGAAATCTTATCCCCCTTGCCATGAAGTGGTACATTTATCAGCTATTAATTCTGAGTGTGACAGAGGGCAACCTACTCGCGCGGCCGAGTTCCAACTTAATCACATGACCTATGAGCAGCGCAAGAAAACCTGTTAGATAGCGTCACGCGAGTAAGTCGAAACTCGACCGCGCGAGTAGAGGTAGTGGTGTGGTATTTCTGCAGTATAGAAATCATGGATTATCAAAAATGTAGTATTCCTTAAGAATAGTCATTGCTTGGTAGAGTATACGTACCGTAGACCCAGTATTTCTGTAGCATTCTTACCATCCGGGTCGCACCTCTTTCTTGCTACTGTAGTGGTAGTTACTGATATTCTTGATCATAAATAATCACTTGGTCACCACAAAGATCGCCAAGTATTGATTGATTGATTGATTGCTATATTAATTGTATATTGAACCCGGAGGTTATAGCGGCGAAGACTGCCTAGTAGAACCATCAAACGGCTATCCCGCGTGAAGCGTATATATATGCATATTACGTACATCCTGGGCTAGATTCTTGCTTGTGCAACGGAGGTGGACGTCAGACTTAGATATAGGTACTAGGCCAGTTTCTCATCACAGTATGATTACACAAAAGGAATATCATTTCTCCTTCATCTATTTTTCACAGGTCAACCGAACCACCAAGCGAGATGATCATATGAGTCGTAAGAACCCCACACAACTTAGACCTATGTGTTATACTGATTGAAGGGATCAGAAACGCCCGTTCTGGGACTAGAGATATATTATCGTCATGGTACTTTGGCGGATCGATATCATAGTTTCATGTGCACTTATGGAGCCCTTGAGCAGAGATTCTCCATAGGACGTATATATATATGTACCCAGGGTGTCGGGGGGTGATGCACATTCGGTGATATATCAACAATGAGAGAATAGATGTTCGCATGAGTGCATACAAAGGTCAGTTTGGGTGTGTGGATTCTCTTGATGATGAAAGAATAAAAAGAATGTCTAGTCTGTCATGGTTTTCTGGATTTTTTGTCACTATATATTTTCGCTACCCCACAGCGACTGTCTTGGAAGTGGACATTTTGTTTTCAAACCAGGCCAATGCATCCTCAGGCATAGCAGAGATGTTCAGTATCCTAATTCTGACTTTAGGCAGTGTTTTATGTTGTGTCAAAATATTATATCTGCCGCCAAGGCTCTATCCGGATCATGTTGGCGTGCGTCACATAGTATCACTCGATTAAGATGCTAGAGGTCACGTGATGAATTGATCGGTCGGTCGGTTTTTTTTTGTTTAGCTCATTGATTATCGTTTGGTTGCTTCGATAATTGTATTGACAGATTGATCAGTAATTCATTGATTGTATCCTTCATTCTGTAAGTGCTTTTACGCCCTACTGTACCAGGATATTGGCTAAAGAGTATTCAAGCATCCTAACTTTTGTAGCCTTAAGATTGGTCACTAATGGGACGTAGCGGACGTTCACTGTGTTCACAGTACTAGTTCATTTAGATTACTTCCCAATATATGGAAATTATGCCTCACCAAGCCACGGGTGCTGGAAACAGAAGGCTCACCGCGTAAGTCAGAAAGTGTAATGTCAGAGGGTGAGGGGGTGTTATATATATCGACTGAACAGCGATAAATCTTTAGATATTCACTTACGGGATGAATTCCACTTAGTGATCCGATAAAGTGCTATATGTGTCCATTAATGTCATGTACAGGTGATTTCATGTAATTATGAATGGTGGGAAAAAGTAAGAAATGAAAATACAAGGACTATAATACAACTCTAACTTGACTCTTGAGTATCTCTTTCCCTCTTTCTTCCTCCTCCCCGCCACAGATTTTCCTCTCCCATTCAGCACGCAGCTCGAGTCCCTGACGAACAAGCCGTTCCGTAACGCCATCAGTTTCGGGCATTTGTGACTGGACATAAGCCGGCGAAACAACCTCCTCACTTAAAAGAAAATCAACTATCTCCTGGTTCTTGCTGCTCGCTGCATATTCGACTGCTGTCCATCCATTGATCAGGTTCAACGCCCAAACATCCACGCCTGCCTTTTGAAGTATCTTTACCACTTCCAAGTGGCCTAGACACGCCGCTACATGAAATGCAGTTGATCCATCCTTTAGAGTTGCATTCAAATCTACTTTCGCCTCCAGGAGTGCCTTTAACACCTCCTGGTGACCGCCGTGGACAGCCCCGTGAAGCGCAGTCCATCCAGACCCGTCTCGTGGATTAACATTTGCACCCGCAACTAAAAGTACTCTGACTACGGACTCGTTTCCAACATCGCAAGCCAAGCTCAGGGCGGTCCCTCCATTATTTGTTTTTATCTCGGTATCGGCACGGAATTGAAGAAGTGCCTTGGCGATTAGATCCTTCCCTTCATACGAAGCACAGTGCAGCGCTGTCCAACCGACGATACTTTGCGAATCCACTTCCGCGCCTTTATCAATGAGTAACTTCAGGCAGCCATAATGCGAGTGTGTAACAGCCTCAAAGAGTGGAGTGTGCCCATGTATATCCTTACTTGATGTGTATGCGCCTAGCTCGAGGAGCTTTACGAGAGCTTCATCATGTCCGTTACTAGCAGCATGATGAAGTGCGGTGAGTCTAGCGGCGTCCGTTAGTTGTAGGGAAACACCGGTGTTATAAAGTCTTTCTATCTCCGCTGGGCTTCCTATATATGCAGCATAATGTAGCTCGGCTGTTGTGGCTTCTGTTCCATTTTCCAAGATTGCCCTCACTACATCTAAATGTCCCCCGCGTAGAGCCATATGTAAAGGAGTCGATCCATCTTTATTTTTCGCCTGGAAATTAGCCTTGGAATTGGCAAGAACTTCTAAAACCCGAAGATGCCCGCCGTAGGCGGCGATGTGCGATGCTGACCACAGATTCTTATTGACTTCATTCGGGTCTGCGCCGTTTTCCAGGAGAACTTGCACCGACGATTGGTGTCCTTTATGCGCAGCATAATGTAATGCCGTGCCGTCTTGATCCATCAATGCTATGTTTGCACCTGCACGTAGAAGAGCACGGAGAGCCTCATCTTTTCCGTGGAAAGCGGCGTATTGTAGTGGCGTGGACATGAGGTTGTCCCTAACATTGCATTGAGCCTTTCCTTGGAGAAGCATCTCGATTGACTGCACATCTCCTCTGGTAGCAGCCAAGTGCAGGGGAGTCCGCCCGACGTTGTCCTCTGAGCCCGTGTCCATTCCTCCTTTGATGAGTGTCAAGATAACAAG